TTTTTTAATGTAAAGGATGGGCTTGTTTGTATCCATTCTCTTCAGTAGCGTAGCACAAATGTAGCAAACCAAATTTTTTCCAACCATTTGTCTGGGCTAAATGTCGTATGGAAATAACTGTATATAGCAGATTCCATGATTTCAATGTAACATTTGGTGCCAAGAGCATCAGACATGTTTTGAAGGAGTGGCGCCGCTCGTATAATACGCTCTATGGCTGCAAAGTTTTGTTTATCATGGTGATCAAGATCTTTTGCACGTAGGCCATGTACATCCTTTCCATATATACTTGTTAGCATTGAAAGGTGAGTACTGCTTACAATAAATGATCCCATTGGTAGCAGAATAGCTGGTTTTAATAATCTTGATTTAAATTTCACACCTATGTGTACCATGTCTTGTATGCATACAACTGGACATAACTTTGTAACAAGCCAGTTTTCAAAAAGAGGCATGTTAAGTGTGGCTTTGTTTGCTGAAAAATGCACATTTGCTGAGTTTGTAAAGTGAAGGGCTACTCTCATTGCTTTAAGAAGCCTGCTATCTCCATCAGCTGCAAAATTTACAACTGTGACTCCTCTTTTAAAAAACTCAGAGTGTATGTATTGCCATCTCTGCAGTATCTCTTCTGCAGTGAACTTATTATCTGTTCCTATACAGGCTAAGCAAAAAGATGGAACACCTTCCTGAAGAGGCTGGATTGTATACACATAAGCATATTTTGAGATGGGTGCTTTGTGGAAGTAATCCTGGATATTCTCAAATGAATTTGCTACATATGCATTGGTCTGTGGTAAGCCATTTTTGTCTAACGGTAGTACAAACCCAATACACCTATCACTTCTTACATCATAATCAATTCTGTTTGTTATTCTTGTGGCATCTTCTGACACAGTTATGTTTAACACAGCTTTATGTCTTTTGAGATGTGCTAATGCGTCATCAAATCTAAAAACTCCTTCATTGATATGTTTGTATTGTGTATGTATTATATTCTGTACTAGCCGTAGTGATGGTAGTGCTTCAGGCATATTTGCTTGAATTAGCTGGTAACTCATGGAGCCGCAATAAATTAATAGCAAAGTTGATAACTGTTTTATTATAGTGTCATGCCGTCTTTGTGTTGATACTTTCCCGGCATTTTTCTCTGCATTAGCCATGAGGCTTTGCAGAATAGGAGTGACATTAAGTGACGGATTCGCAGGAGTGTTTGCAAGGCAATTCATCAGTTCATCATTTTGCTTTATAAGCAATGAAATCTTATTGATAACGTCAAAATATGTTGTTATTGTTTCTTGATTAGGATCACTTCCTGCCTTTTCTAACTTCCTACGTTTCCTTGCCTGTCTAGACCAGTCAACTGTTTTCTTAGCCCCCCCTTTAATATTAAAGGAGGGGCTTAATGAAAAACCTGCTTATTTGTTGTAGTAGCATGTGATGATAGTGTAAACGGAATAGGTAATTGTTGTGACGATGGTATAATGGTGGCGTGTGATGATTGTGTGAGTGATTGGTATGACGATGTTGTTATAGTAGCATGTGATGGCTGTGATGATAGTGTAAATGGAATGGGTAATTGTTGTGACAATGGTATAATGGTGGCGTGTGATGATTGTGTGAGTGATTGGTATGACAATGCTGTTATAGTAGCGTGTGATGGGTGTGATGATAGTGTAAACGGAATGGGTAATGGGTATGATGTTGATGTAAGTGTTGAGTGTTGATGTAAGTGTTGAGTGTGATAAGGGTGATTGGATCAGTTCTTCAAATTGGAATTGAGGAGGTTCAGTTTCAGTAGGTGAAATTGGTATGCTTGTTATTGGTGATGGTAATGGAGGAGTTTTTGGTGGTGATGTTGTTTGTGTGAATGAAGAATCTGAGATTGTTTGTGTTATGAATGATTGAGGCTGAGTGGTTTTGAAATGTTCTTTCAAACTTCCTTGTTTGCCTTTACCTCTATCCGTGGCAGTCTTTTTCTTGAAGCATGTTGAAACATGTCTGGCCCAGTTGCAAGTGTTCCACTTATTCTGACCTGATGGTTGTCTTTGCACAGCTATAGATTGTTTACATCTGCAGCGTATGGCAGCATCACACTCCAGTTCATTTTTTATAGACTTTGTTACAACTATAGTGTAGTCGATGTTTTCCTCCAGTGTTGTATTGTTCCTTCTCATCCATTGGATTACATTTTGTCGAATAGAATTTACTGTACTGGAAACATCTTCTGATACTGTTTCTGCATGAACTTGAGTTGTTGATTTACTCAATTTGATCTTTTTGGCTGGTTTTGCTTGTAAATCAATTGTCTTCTTGATGCCAGCTACAAATTTTGATATTAATAATGTGTGGCCTGGAGGGAATTCGAATGGGAGCTCCAATGCAGTGCTTTCATTTGGACCCATGCATAAAGGAAGATATTTCTTCCTCTTGTGAATGTATTTTTCTATTTTTGTTATTGTGTTGTTTGATGTGGACGAAATATCCATGTCATAGACTGCTTCAACTGTGTCAAACCCAGATATTTTGAAACAATTCACAATATAAGATGGGAGTTGCTCTTCCATGGCCTCTAGCAAAGCACTACATGCAGTGAAATTAAAGTTTTATCTTGTGCAGTAACACTTACTTATTATCCATAGTTGTTTTTAAATACCAGAAGTTTCTAGGTCTAAGAACTCCTAGAGAATAACAAAAATGCAATTATGACACATTTAGCCACAAAGAGTAAACTGCCTGACCAGGCGACAAAGTTGCATAATGACCACAAAGTTCCATATGAAACCAATTCAAATTTTAATTGTAGCTACTTGTGCAGTGTTTCAGTGTTACATGTACATGTATTTTGTATTATCTCACTCAATGCACCTGTTTGGTGTTGTGGGTCAAGATTAAAGGGACACATGCACGGAAGCACGTCATCTTGAAAAACTGGCCCGTTTTTCAAGATGACATCATTAATGATGACGTTTAGTGTTTATAACTATTCATAACGTGCGGCCACGCCCCCTAATAATTAAGGCAAAATGGCTACTCGAGTGGCTACTTGTAAATATTCCTGGTGTTTCTTCACTAAAAAGAGTATCTTGGGGTGGCAAAAGAGCTAATTCTGTTCGAGAGAAGTGTTCTACAGATACCTACTCCTGGTTCTGCGACTGATTGCTGTCTCTACTCTCTACGCGTGTCTAAACACGTGTCATAACTATTAATTAATGATCTGTTGCACGCCCAATTTAATGTTTACTTCCTCTACAGTAACGTGTGCATTCTATTTCCGTGAACGTGTCCCTTTAAGATTAAATCTCGGGATTTCTTGTGTATAACTTTACAAGTATCAAAAGCGAGATCAAAAGTTCTTAGTATTATTGTATTGTATGAATAGTACCTTTATTATAATAAGAATATTAATATTGAAGAAATGAGAAGTGGAGATAGATTAGGGATAGGAACTGCTGAACTGGAAAGGTAGAGGGAATGGAAGATATTATCTAATTGTTGTGTAAACTGATCTTTCTTCTACAGCCTTTAAACTATAAAAATATAATTCAATGTTTGTTAGACTTGAAGTTACAGCTAGCATAATTATAGAGACATAATTATTCTGTGTAATACCTGAATCTCATTTTACTAATGCATGCACCTCACTGCATTATAATAATCTTTTAGATGTATTTTATTTTTACCTGTAGGACAAGTGACAAGAAGAAAGAACAGTACTGTGAAAGATTCATATAAATCAAAGGTTAATGGCAATCCTCTTTCAGAAATAAGACCTGAATCACTGCCTGCAAATGCTTACTGCAACTCTGCAATGTCAATTGACTATTATGTTTAATTGTTTAAAATTTATTAAATTTTATTAAATTAATAATAGAATTCATTGTTTTGATTCTGTGACTCCATATCAAGACTCCAGTAGTGACTCCATTAAGACTCAATTAGACTCTACTGAGACTCTAAATATTCCAAGGTGACTCCTAAAGATTCTAAGACTCCAGAGAGATTCAAAAGAAAGGTGTACGGGATTCCAAGCCCGTTACGGACCCCTCGCTTACAGCTGCCTGACTCAGTACAGTGACTCTGTGTGACTCACACTTCCTTTCAAAAGAGGAGGGGGTCAAGTGTGTGCCACTGTGTGGGTGTTCAGGTAGATCTATGCTTAGTTATGTTAATAGTAAAATCTTACACATTTTTTTGGCTAATTTTTTCAAAAATGGCAAAAAGCCTTCTGCCTGGTTGTACTGTTATATTTTTCCTGATATGTATGCAACGGTTTTTTGCTAAATCAGATTTTTACAAATTTTAAAATTTAGTCAAAAGTCCCTGGCCAATTTTTGACAAAATTGAAAAAGAGAAAATTCTCAATTTTTAATAATTTTCTGTGATACATTTACATGTTTATGTTGCATGCATAGAAAGTTTGAGCTGATTCCAATAGTATTTATTTTGCTCCAAAAGTTTTCCTAAGACATACTACAGTACTTGTCATCTCATGAACACACTGTCCAGTTCACTTATCATCATTCATTGTGGATTAATCCTCCCTCCCTTTAATGTCTCACTTTTAATTTCAAATACTTTTCCTTTCCTCAGTCTCTCTTCAATGTCAGCTGCTAGTGCATTCTCTTTCAGCCTCTTAAGAGCACTAATGACATCAGTCCATGTACCAGGTGGATATACCTCAGTCCATTTAGTCCACAGTGCCTAATATTCACTCCAG